TATGGGCAGCTGGCAGGGTGGAGTCCACGCAACTTTAGGAAATCTGCCTCGGGCGTGAGTAGTGAAAGTGTTTAGAAACAAAGCTACAGGAAGACTCAGCCTCGGTTGGCCTCTTCTGTCTCAGCCCTAAGACTCCAACCCCATCCTGTTCTCGGAGAGCAAAAGTGAGTTCCGGTCGCGTTTTTCAACGTCAAAGCTTTTGAATTGTCATGGAAACGTGATAAAAATAAATTCCCTGAATGTCCTGGTCCAGATCTCTGCAGAAAATGTGTAAAATGGCCTATTTGGGACCACATAAACTTAGCATTTTTTTAGGTGCCTACTGGGAGAGGGAAGGGAAGGAAGACCAGGTGTGAGTTCATAGGAAGTTCTGTGATCTCTTGCAAACAAGATCCACCAACATGCTGCAGGCAGCACTGATCGAATCCATTGGGTTACCAAAACAAACAAACAAGTTGAAGTTTGTAGGGATAATAAGAGGGGGGGGGTTGGGGAGTAGGATACATTGTTGCTGGGAGAGGCTGCATACACACCTTAAATACCAGAGGCAGAGGCAGGTGAATTCCATGTGAGTTCAAAGCCAACCAGGGCTACACAGTGAAACTGTCTCAAGAAATAAGAAAACAAAAAGATACAGTTTACATATTTGAAATTGTCAAGGAATAAATAAAAGATAACCTGGGGGCTTGGAGAGATTTCTCCGCAGTTAAGAGGAACACTCACTGCTCTTCAAAAAGACCTGGGTTCCATTCCGTTAAGGGGAACACTCAACTGATCTTCCAAAAGACTTGGGTTTGACTCCTAGCACCCTCAATACTAGCTGTTAACAACCATCTATATCTCTAGTTGCAGGGCATCTAATGCCCTCTTCTGGCCTCCACAGGCACCACACATGCAAGCAAGCAAGTGGTGGACATACATACAGGCAAAATACCTATATACATAATATAAAATTTTAAATGAAAAGAAAACACTAAAAATAAAAGATTCTCTATTTAAAAAAAAAAAGAAAGAAAGAAATCTTGTGTCAGGTCTGGTGACCTGCACCTGTAATCCAAGCTTCCCCTGACAAGTGAGGCTAGGATACTAACTTAGAGGCTAACCTGGGCAATACAAGGAGACCTGTCTCAAAACATAAAGGCTCAGCATGTAGATACAGGCCTGTGCACAAGTCTGACAAACTGAGGGCTAGATAGTGGCATTAGAGAACTGACTCAGAGTACTGCATACACACACACACACACACACACACACACACACACACACACACACACACTTAAAATTTTTAATTGAATTAATAGCACTTAATGGTCTTGTTTCTGTAAGATCAAGGTTTGGGTCCACATGATGGTTCACAACTACCTGTTACTCCAGTTCCAGGATACCTAAGGCCTTCTTCTGGCCTCCTCTGGCACTGCACATGTGGTTGGTACCCATGATACATACTCATGCAAACACACATACAGTAAAAATAAATCATCATTTGTGGAAGTATAGGCCTTTAATCCCTGCACTCAGGCTGAGGCAGGTGATGTCTCTGAATTGAAGGCCAACTAGTGCCAACACTTGCCTGTTTCAGAGAAGGCAAATACCACACACACAGGCAAACAAAACATAACCCACAAGCATATCCCTCCATAGGGCTTTTGATGCAGGGACAGTGTGAAACAGAAAGGGGCTGACCCTGGTTATGGCTATAGTGCTTGCAATCTTCCAGTCTTCTAACTTCCAAGACTTGCTGACTGAGACAAAACAAGTTCTTCATGTGAAAAGTGAGAAAGCCAGCTGCTGTTAATAGAATGATGAAGAAATCCCCAAATTCAGACCTGGAGTTCAGCCTTGATGTTCTGGATCTTCAAGGGCTGGGCAGGAGTCTGACAAGCTGTAACCATATCCTGTGACCTGCTTTGTGCTGACATCCCACCAATGACCAAGTTTCATGTCTGAGTTTACATATGAGTCTCACATAATGGCCACCTTGCCAGGCTCTCACCAGAGCCACATGTTAAACCACTGCCCAGATCCAACCCTGTATCTTGAGGCCACCATCTTACCCTAGAGTGCATTCATGTAGAAAGCCAGGTTTGGAAGTTGGATAAATGATGCAGGGCAGTGGTGTCAGACAGGCACCAGCACTGTGACAAGTTTGCAGTTGCAGAAACCCAGCCAACACAACACAAAGGTGCCCACAATGAGTAGAGCCATACAGACCACCTTGCCAGGCATGGTCGCACATGCTTGTTATCCTAGCACTTAAGAGGCTGAGGCAGAATTGCCATGAGATTGAGGCCAGCCTTAGCTGCATAGCAAGACCCTGTCTCAAAACAAAAAACAAGTAACTTTCCACTGCCAATGTTTCCTCAATACCTGATGCCACCCCAAAGATTATCATTACAACTCAGTTGCCAAAATCACTAAACCCTGCAGGCCTGGCAGTGGTCTCCTGAATAGGGTCATGACACCCCATGGGTTCAATAGTTCAGTGTAACAGCATGAGATAGTAGTTCCACCAGTGCCATGTCACAAGAGATAGGTGACAACAGACCTCAGGAACCATGACTTAATAGAACAGAAGTGAGAAGCAGTTATCTGGTCCAAGCCCACGTGGTACCCTTCCTATGTGAAGGCTTCATCCAAGAAATGACCAAGTAGAAAAGCTGTAGCAGCCAGCAAAACCTGTCATAGCACGGGGGCAGCCAGGTGCGTAAACAAGTCTAAAAAGCACAGACTAACAGCATACAGGTATCAGAGGCCACAGAATGGCAGTGTCATGGGCTCAAGAATAACAGTGCTGCACATACTACAGACCCAACACAATCCTGTTATACCTACCAGGTCCTCCAGCAGTCATAGTTAACAACACCAACCCAATTTAGCATTTCCATTTCTACAAGGTCCCTCACCCAGCCACCACCACCACGTGGCCTTTTTATACTGGGTCCCCACTGGAAAAAGCTAATTATGATCATGTGACTAGGGTTTTCCAGTAGTTCACTGCTACCCCAAACTAGTCTAAGGGGAGAACTAGTGAGATCCGCATGCTGAGCTTCATGTAGTCGGCTCCGTGGCCTTGAGGATGCTGCTGGCTCCAGCCACACCTTGGCCTCTAGTCTTTGTTTCTGGCTGGGGGTGGAGGTGGACATGCAGGTGCCCAAGGACAGGGAGGGTCAGATTCCTGAAGCCGGAGTTTTAGGCAGTTGTGAGCTGCCTAACATGTGGGTGTTGGGAATCAAACTCGGGTCCTCAGAAAGCCTGGCCGAGCAAGTACTTAACCACTGAGCCATCTCTCTCCAGCTCTGCTCCCAAATACCTGCTTCTTACCTTTGCTGCCCACCATCCTCTAAAGAGGCCCATTCTACTCTCAAGTAATCGGAGGTTACAGAGGGACAGTATGATCCAGACAGAAGCGAAGTTTCTTGTGTTTGTACAGGAGCTGGAGACTTGGCTCAGTGGTAAAGCAATTGACTACACAAACCCCTGGTACTGGAACAAAGTGTACAAGGGTACATGCAGAGACCTTGAGGCCAAGTATGCCTGCCGACCTATGGGTGAGTAGCCTTGGGCAAATGCCAAAAGCCATTGTCTGAGCCCAGAACCCCTCCAAAGTAGGAAATCAAGTATGATTGTCTCTGGTCCTCTGCTTATCCTCTTTTTGTTCCTAGTGTTTTCTCTTAAGGGATGAAGATGTTTTTAAACTGCAGAACCTAGAGAAGAAAGAAGTGAGAGTTCCCCTAGGGAGGGGGGGGTTTCCTTCCCTGCAAGTAGTCTCTAACCTGCTGTTTGGTTATCCCCAGCCCGATCCAGGGTTTGTATCTTCCTCCCTAGAACCAAGACAGGGTTTCTCTGTGTAACAGCCCTGGCTGTCCTGGACTCGCTCTATAGACCAGGCTAGCCTTGAATTTAGAGATCTGCCTGCCTTTGCCTCCTCTAAGTACTGGAATTAAGGCCAGGAACCAACACTGCCCAACTGGGTTTGCATCTTTTAACCCATGCATGGTACTCCTCTTTCTTTGGATGCCCTAAAATCTTAATGCCAATTACAGCCACTTCAACATGGAAGCCAGAACCAATGGGATGCTAGGTAGCAGGGAGCCTCCAGGGAATGATACTACAGAAGGTGGGGGGGGGGGCTTCATTATTATGATGGCTAACACTGTAAACTTGACCCAATCTAGAATCACCTGGGAGACTCGATATTAAGTGTGTGCAGTACCACCGGGCGTTGGTGGCACACGCCTTTAATCCCAGCACTGGGAGGCAGAGGCAGGTGGATCTCTGAGTTCCAGGACAGCCTCCAAAACAATACAGAGAAACCCTGTCTGGGAAAAAAAAAGTGTAGTACCATTTACCACTTAGGTGAGGGTCTGCTTCCTTATATCAGAGGCAATGAAACCAACTGCATCATGCCTTTTCTACCAAGACAACTTCACCCTCAAACTATGAGCCTCAATAAACCCTTTCTTCCTTAAGTTGCTTCTGGCAGACAGTTTGTCATAGCAACAATGAAAGTTCTACAATGACCCAGAGAAAATGAGCTGTGACCCTATCTCCCCTCAGATCAGAGAACTTCAGGATCTTTAATACAAACACACACATATACCAGATAGTGTGGAAGGGAGGGGAAGGGCCACAACATGTTGTGGATCAGTCACTAAGTCTGCTTATTTATTATTTATTTTTAAAATATATTTAAACAGCAGCAATCACTTCCAAAATGCAAAAAAATTACAATTTTTAGAATAAAATTATAATGTTTATAATGCAGGTCAGAAAGAATCAAAGGTACAACTCAGAAACACGCAGCACTGAAGGCGGCTGAAAAAGCCACGGCCCACTAATCTAGGGACCAAGTTGACATGAGGTCACAATTTGTGAGGTTCCCACCCCCAAATCATGCCCTCCAACTTCCCATTGGTGGAGCCAGTGTCCTCTGAGTGACAGAAGGAAAAGTGGCAAAGACATGGCCTTCTGAAGGGGATCCCCCAAACCAGTCCCTCCATCAGCCAGGGACCTGCTAATCGACCTCCTCCATGTTGCTGTACGTGGGGGCTGGGCGGTCCACAGGGGGGGCGAAGCGTTCAGGGGCTGTCCGCGTAGGGGCCACCTCGGGGGCCTGGCCAGGGCCTAGTCCCTGCAACAGAATACGAGGACAGGGGTTGGGGGTTGCCCAGCATACTGCCTGGCATCCCGGGGGTGCTGGCTCAGAGCCCCGGCACCCAAGGGAGGGCCCCTAGGCAGGCGCAGACAGCAGCGGCGTTTAGACAGAGAGACGAGATCGGGCCTGAATACTCACTTTATTAACACTTTAAATACAGGAAATAGTTGCAGCAGGGCCAAGCCCTAGGACAAGGGTCAGAGAAACAGGAGGAACAGACAACTGGATGGACATATACCCTAGGATACTCTGCCCCTGCAGAGGCTGCAGTCCCCACAGATCTCCCATCAGATACATACACTGAGGCCCAGAGCCCAGAGTTGTTCCCTACCACAAAGGTAGGCGTGGCCTGGTGAGCAGGCAGGTAGGCCAGCTCACAAGAGGCGCCTGCAGATGAGCTTATCTCCAGCGACTCTGAGACACCAGAGGATAGAATACGTTGAGCACAAGGGCCACCAAAGCCGCCACGGTACCCAGGACAAAGTATCGGAGACAGCCCTCGTCTGGTGTGGTAGGGCCACGTGGCGGGGGCCCCACCCAGTCTTGGGGCCCCCAAGGACCCAGAGGCCCAGGCCCCTCGGGCACCATCTCCTCCTCGGCCTCGAGCTCCTGCCAAATCCGGGAAGCCTATGGTATGTGGAAAGGGCCATCAGCACCCAGAGGATGGGGAGGCCCCAGTTTCCATGAGACCCCTAGCCAAGGCAGTCACATCAAGGTGACTGGGCCTAGGACCCCATGTTCCAGATCAAGTAGCAGGGAAGTAAGCAGGAACATTAAGTATGAGAATCCTGACAGCCTGTGACTTCCTCCAGACAGCTTTCAATCCACATTTAGCTTTTCACAGGCAAGGCAGTAGAGTTACCTGGTAAGATCTTAGTCCAGACCTCCCACAGAAGGGACCAGCTCACAGAGGATAAGTAGCCAACCCATGGCATTCTCCTCAGGATTAGCCATGTCCAGATCCTGATCACTGTGTGGTGTCTCTTGAGCCTGACAGAGAGGTCTCAAGGGAGTACAGGTGATAGAAAGGAGGTTGATGGTCTAGGAAGTGACCATGCTCATGGACCTATGGAACACTGTCAGCAAATGAGACAGAAGATCTGAAGGTTCAGTGGGGATGGCTGTTACCACAGAAAGTTTGACAGCCACTGGAGGTGACAGCCATCTCTGACAGGGATATGTATCTTGAGCACACACAACATGAAGGTGATCACAAAGTAGGGTCTCTAGGCTGGCACATGGAGAATGTGGGGGAGAGCTGGGAGAAGTCAGGTTTAGTCAGCTTAGAGTACTTACTGTGCCTGCTGAGGTTCAGGGCAGTTTTCTGACCTGTAATTTTGTGCACACTGGTGCCAGCATGTTTATGTATGTACACCTTTGACTGTGTCCCTAGGGTATCTTCCAGGATGCCCCTGGGTGAGGCCCGAATGTCAAGGAACCCCATCTCTAACTTCTGTAGGCTTGAAGGGCTTATAACTAGGATAAAGAAAGCCATATTCTCCAGCCCTGTCCCCAAACTAGCCTATAAGGCCTCCCCCAATGCCTCACCTGGCTGGCAGCAGCTTCAGCTGCAGGGTCTAGGTCTGGGTGGTGTTCAGAGTGACCTGCCCTGGGGGGTCTCTCCACAGGAGAGTTCCGCCGTCGGTAGAAGAGCACGTAAGCATAGCGTGTCACCACCTGGCTCTCGTCCACTGTTGTCACTGTGCTGTCATCAAACAGGCGCCAGCCTACGCAGGGTGGGAGAGTGTGAACACGGCCTGTACCACCACCCCACCACCTATCCTACTGACTGTGTGTGCCCTCACCCACGTCACTGCGCTGGCTACTGCGATCGCTGGGCAGGCGTGCACAGGCAGTATAGTGGCCACCAATCATGCCTCCATAATGGTTGATGACAGCATACAAGTCATAGCTAGGCAGCTGCTCCTCTTTCTGGCCAATACAGAACTTGCTCAAGTCCAGGTTCCTGTAGTCCCAGTCAGAGAAGGGTGAGGCAGTTAGTATGCCCCATGATCCCCATTCCCTGTCCACAGCCACCAGGGCTCACTCACTGCTCACCGAACAGGAAACTCCACCAAGTCATTGATCTTGTCGCGCCAAATGAAACTACGAAAGGAGAAGCGCTTTAGCTGCACAATGAGGACATTTGGTAGGCGCCATAGCAGCAGCTGTTTGGAGGCCTCGCGATGCTGTTTGCACTGTGGGCAGTACCTGGTAGGGGACAGAGAAGTCAGAACCACAAGTTTCCCTCCACCCCGCGCCACCACCTGCTTGCTGCCCCGTCCTCACCAGGCCTCCTCAGGCGCTAGCACTTCAGGTCGAGTAAAGAGGTTGAGGCACTGGTCCAGGGTAAAGTGGCCAGCACGGGCAGCCTCACCAGCAGAGCCTGGGTCTTCAGCACACTCCAGCTCCTTGGAGGCTACTAACACAAACTCCGGTAGACGCTCATTGTTCCGCCACACCAGAGCCAGGCTGCAATCGTCACCTAGCTCCAGTGGTGTTTCCCCTGCAGATGAGCAGACACAGGAGTCACACAGCTGTGCAGAGCAGCCAACCCAAGGTGCCCTACAACTTCCACCCACAGCATCAGACACCTTTGTCCTCAAGCCGCTGCTCTCGGTTTGATGCGTCAATTTTATAGATGAAAAACTGGGGCATGTGGGTATTCGTGGCTTCACTTGAGTGTTGGTACCCAGGCACAGCAGCTAAGACAAAGCATGATAATCAATGCTTATCTGTTCACTGTGCTCTAAACAACCTTCCCCAACTTTTTACTGCAGTACCCAAAGCATTTCAGCAGATCTTACCTTCAGGCCGGGACACCCTCTCAGTAGCAAGCAACGAACAACCTTCAATAGGCCCACTAGCCAGCATCTCAGAAGAAATTCCACTGGTGCTAGGTACAGGACCCCGATCAGCGGGTGCCCACACACGGGGAGCCCCTGTATCCCCCTCAGCCACAGGAGAAACCAACTGGAGCTCAGAAGGCTGAATGGGTTCTCTCTCACTATCTCCAGCCTCCAGGGAGTTGGTTGAAAGCAATGTGGTACAGCCAGGACTCTGTGATTCCAAGCCCATACGGCCAGCCTGGAAGGGTGGCTGGAATACACTCACCGAGTATCTGGCAGCAGACAAGGCAAATAAGAATTCTGACCTGCTGGGTCAACACTGAGCACCCATACTAGTCCTCTGAGCTCTTACCTGGCATAGCCTTCTAGGAGTTGGGCAAGACGGGAATAAGTGAGGCGTGAGGCAGGAACACTGACCAGGAAGGGGTAGCCAATGTTCTCAGGGCGGCAGAGGCCTTTGTGGTCAGGCCAATGGGTTTTCTGGCAGAACCTGGAGGGATGAAGAAGGTAAGACTAGGGCTTTACTCCTAAGTGCTGTAACTATATATTAGGGCTTTTCTGGAGCCCTGGGGGCTAAGTATGCCATCCCTGGCTCTCCCAAGGTCTGATAAAATGGACAAACGGGTGGAGGGCTTAAAATATGTGCCGCTGTGTGGAGAGGAGGGCACGATGGCAAGTGGCAGGTAGAGGAAGTGGGGGAGCATGGGGTTCCTCACTGGTTGCAGTAGCCCACACGGTAGCAACGGGTACAACGCCTCAGTTTTTCATCCTCTGACTGCTGCTTCCGCTGGCAGGCTGCACACTTGGAGATAGGGATGCTGGGTACCTGGGGGCGCTAGGGTGGGTCATCTGGCTCAGCAAAGCCAGCAGGAGTGACCAGCCCCCACCAGGCCCTGTGGGGTCAGGCTGGTCCACTCACCTGCTGCACCTCTAACACCACTACCCGCTCCTTAGCCAACTCTGGGGACAGCAGCTCAAAGCAGAGGAGCATGTCAGTTGGGGACACAGTGTCCAGTGAGTGGGAGGGCAAGAAAACACGGTGGAAACGGTTCTTAATTACCTAGTGATAAAGAACATAAAGATGCCTCGGGATAAGCCTTTCCCCTAGGCCAGGAAGGCCTCAGTCCTGCTTGCAAAGGAGTCTACTGGGATGGGAAGAACAGGACCTACGGCCTAAAGAGGAATATGCTTGTCCAGTGGCAGAGAGTACATTACAGTGCCTGAGCAAGAGTCAACTCCACTGACCCTCCATAATGAGGGCCTCTGCCTCTATGATAACTAGCAAGTCCCCGCTAAGACTACAAGGTGTTATCAGGGAAGGTTCACATTCAAAGAGCCTCTTCCACACTCACACTTCAGAGGAAATATGGGAACTGCTGAACTTTAAGGGAAGACTGGCATGCAGATCTGGGATGATTTCAGAGAAAACTCAACAGAGAAAGAATGGAGAAAGTAAACTGGGCAGTGGTGGCACATGCCTTTAATCCCAGCAGCACTCAGGAGGCTGAGGCAGGAGCATCTCTTGTGAGTCCAGGCCAGCTTGATCTACAGAGCAAGTTCCAGGACTGAGAAACCCAGTCAAGAAAAACAGAGAGAGAGAGAGAGGAGAGGCGAGAGGAGGGGAAGGGAAGGAAGGGGAGGGGAGGAGAACAGAAAAGGAGAGGAGGGGGGAAGAGGAGAGAGGGGGGAGAGAGAGGGAGGAGAGAGGAGAGAGAAAAGAGTAAGGGGAGAGAGTGGAGAGAGTGGAGGGAGAGGAGGGAGAGGAGAGAGAGAAGAGAGAAGAGAGAAGAGAGAGAGAGAGAGAGAGAGAGAGAGAGAGAGACAGAGAGAGAGAGAGAGAGAGAGAGAGAGACAGAGACAGAGAGAGAGAGAGAGAGAGAGAGAGAGAGAGAGAGAGAGAGAGAGAGAGAGAGAGAGAGAGAAAGAGAAAGAAAGAAGAGGGGGGCAAGATAGTCCTGGCAAGCACGAGCTCTGCCAAAGCCCCTTACCCAGAGGGAAGGGCAGATTCGATCCACACTTACACAGGGAATAAACCAATGGTGGCCGAGAACTCAGGGAACCTATGTTACACAGACCAATGCCTGGTTTCAATAATGTCTCATCAAATAAAAACACACAATCTAGGTTTCTGCAGAAGCATTTATATTCATGTACATGTGTTTAGATGCCACTAAGGATACATTGTCTGTCTGTCTGTGCTTCAATGCAAATGTGGAGCCGGAAAAACGGTCAGCAGTTAAGGCTGCTCTTTGAGATGGGGGGGGCAGTGTCCATTCCCAGCACACACTTGGCAGCTCACAACCATTCATAATTCCAGTTCCAAGACATCCAACACTCTGTCTCCTGGCCTCTAAGGGCACCAGGTACATAACATGGTACACATACACACATATACATAAGCAGCTAAAATACTCATAAAACAAAAGCACCTTATGTGGCCACACACGCAGAAACTTAGTAAAGAGACATACCTCAGCCAGTCGCAGGTTCTCAGGCTTCACATGGACACTCTGAGAGAGGGAATCCAAGACTTCACTGGCGCTGGAGTTCTCCTTGCTAACACTCACCAAAAACTTTGGCAACAAAGGTAAAGTCAGTGTGGGGGAATGAGGAGAGTCATGTTTTTCTACGAGAGCCCAGAGGGGAGAAGCTCGTTACTGACCTTGATGGGTTTGCTGTGGGGTTCCCGAGCAAAATAGAAGATGGGGAGAACCTTTTGCTTTTGTGGCAAAGGCACCGGTAGATAAAGGAACGGGTCAAAAGTGATGGAGACCTGTGGATGCGAAGGTGACACTAGGGTGACACCAACCATCAAGATGCTCATCCTGGAGAGCCTAATGCAGGGTTCTCACAGCAGCAAACCCCGCGTCTCACTCAGAGCACTAGACCTAATGCAGGGCTCTCACAGCAGCAAACCCCGCGTCTCACTCAGAGCACTAGACCTAATGCAGGGCTCTCACAGTAAGCAGCAAACCCCGAGTCTCACTCAGAGCACTAGACCTAATGCAGGGCTCCCACAGTCAGCCAGCAAACCCCGAGTCTCACTCAGAGCACTAGACCCCCAATGCCCCTGCTCTGGCACAGTTCCTTCTCTGCAGCTTAGCCACTGTCCCAATGTCCCTTCATCTGCATCCCGCATGCCTTTCCAGACTGAGCCACACCTTATTTCTCTTTGCAACACCACACAACTCCATCCAAATCCCCCCTCCTCTGACTTCATTCAGCCAGGACGCTTACTGACTTCTCTAGACCACAGACAACCTCAGGCCTCTCTGCCACCTTCCTTCCCAATTTTGCCCAGCACTCCCTGAAAATGCACAAACTTCAACTAAATCTGATCCAAACCAGCCCACCCAACTAGGGAGCGTCTCTCTGGGGGAGTCCACCGCACCTTGGCACACACTGGGCACACCAGCTTTGACTTGTACTGGCCCTGAAACAGGTCCACAATGAATGAGTCGTTCCTCATCTTGTGTCGCTGCCATGCTTCCTCAGCCACCACCTGAGAAAAAACGGTGAGAACTGAGGAGACCTAAGGTCTGAGACACACAAAACCCCATCCTACAAGCCTGCCTTGACTGACCTCGTCAGGACGTCCGTCGGAGTCCACAGTCTCAGTGTAGGGCTTGTTTTGGATCCGATTTAGGTCCTCATGTAGCCCATCCAACAAGAAAGCCATGAACTCTTGGGCATCGTGCTGTGCATAGCCTGTGAACTGGCTGGCCTTGCTTGCCACAATGGCCTGCACAGGGAGGCCAAAGTGTTAATGAGAAGCCTTAGTGTCCAATCACCAGGCCCCTGGATAGCTGAGTAAGAGTGGGAACAATCACAAATCACCTTTAGCTTGGAGGGCTGGAAGGCTTGATGAGTGCCTTTCCACAGGGCTCGGAGCAGCACAGCAAAGCCAATGGCCAGTCGCCCACCAGTCCCCAGTGGGTTGTTGTAGTTAATCTCAGCTTCAAAGGATCGGTCTACAACAGTCAAGCAAGGGTGTAAGAGGCAATGATGCCCCTCCTGCCTGTGCCCCAGCCTCCTGGCCCTGGTCCTCACCGTGGAAGAAGTCACGAAGTTCCCGAGTGTTGGACAGGGACTGAATGACACTATTCATGAAGCAGGTGTTCCCTAAATTGACAAGGCCAGTGAAGCCTGGCAAACACACCTTCTTCTCTTCCTCTTCCTCTTCCTCCACACTATCTCCACTCACCGGACTATGAGGCATTGGAGGCACCATACATGTGGGTTTGGGCTGTGGGAGCAAAGGAAACATCAGAGAGCAACCAACCCTAATGCTCTCCAGCCTCACTATTATTATTTTTTTTTTTTTTTTTTTTTTTTTGGTTTTTCCAGACAGGGTTTCTCCGTATTGTTTTGGAGCCTGTCCTGGAACTCACTTGGTAGACCAGGCTGGTCTCGAACTCACAGAGATCCACCTGCCTCTGCCTCCCGTGTGCTGGGATTAAAGGTGTGCGCCACCACCGCCCAGCCCAGCCTCACTATTATTATTACCTTTTTTTTTTTTTTGGTTTTTGAGACAAGGGTTTCTCTGTATAGCAGCCCTAGCTGTTCTGGAACTTGCTTTGTAGACCAGGCAGGCCTCAAACTCAGAGATCTGCGTGCATCTGCTTCCCAAGTGCTGGGATTAAAGGCGTGTGCCACCACCTGGCTTCCAGCCTCATTCTTGGCCCTTCCCTACCCAAGATTCTCACCGAGGCCAAGTGTGGTTCTGGCTTTGTAGCTACATGCTCCAAAGGGGTTCGGGCCACCACACCATCAAGCCCTGTGTCCTCAGATCGGGTCTTAGGCTTTTCCTTCTCCACAGCCCTGGCTTCCTCCTGGCCTGTCAGGGGGTGGGGGGCACCTCCTGGAGGGGTTGCATCCAAAGGAGTTGGACCTGTCGGCACGGCAACCTTTGCACCACCCACTGCACCTTAAAAAGGGGGAATGAGAGGGCTGGTGGTTAGCAGCATGTGTGGCAGGGGTTCTGATCGGCAAGGCTGGGGCAATGAAAGGAGCTCGTGTGCAGACCTCGTGTAGCTGGGGCCTCCAGTCCCCCCCAGCGCTGACTCTGCCGCTTCCGGAGGCAGATATCGATGCGAGAGGCCGTGAAACAGAACGTACACTGCTCTGGCTCAATAAGGTTCCTGTCAGGGAAAGCCGAGTTCAGAGATGGAAACTAAAGCAGGGACCAGGCTAGAACAACCAGAGAGATGGAAACCCAAGTGAGAGACTCAGTAACGGGGCCGGGCACCACCAACCTGAGCTTCACCTGCCAGCGGAAGATGGTATGGGGCCCACAGCCTGGATGCAGCCTCAAGAAATTTCCATCCCTGCAGAGGCAGAGCGGGGAAGGGGAAGAACAGAGGAAGCTTGAAACACATCCCTGTTTGAGGCACTGTCTGTCCCAGCCCCAGTCACACACCTGGTCTGGAAGATGAGCGTGAAGTCCTGCTCTCGGAAAAGTACGCGAGAGGTGTCCCTGCAGATCTCCTTCACATACACGTGCACCACCACTGAATCCGGTCCCTTCTCATAGGAGTCATTCTTGACAAATGCCAGGTTCACCATGGACTCTGGTTCTATGTTGAGACCATGGCTCAGTGCCACCAACCCAAGACAAATTCCAGCCTGTTACTATACTCCTCCCTACCCACCCATCAACCCTGCAACCCAACCTGGGGGTCTACCGGGCCAATCCCCATTTTACCATCCACCAAAGTTGCAGACTCTGCTCCTACTGCCATCTCCTCTTTGATGTGGTCATCTCTCTCACAGTCTCTGCTCTGGACCATGGCTGGGGAGATTGGGCCATTCCTGGAGGCCACTGTCTTCTCCCCTGTCAAATGGGCTAAATCCTTCTCTGAGCCCAGGAGACTGGTTTGAGGGTTCAGTGGTGATACATGGAGCTGCTCCTCAATCTCAACCTAACCACACACAAAGGGAGGGGACAGGAGAGGAAGGGAGGGGAAGGGAGGGGAGAGAAAAGGGCAAAATTTAGCCCTGGGTCTGGCAGGTGACACCCACTCTAATCCACATTCCTTCCCCAGTCTCCAAACACCCAAACAGGTGCCTAACTCTCACCTGAGTGGCCGAGTCAGAAGACAGAAAGGGTGGAGCATCACCTTGGGGACCAGGGCCATCCCTGGGCCCTTCCCCTTCTGGCCCTCTGCGGAGATGCACGGCCCTCTTGGCACTGGGCCCTGCCTGTGCTCCAGGGCCAGTCCCTGAGCCTACCTCACCACGGCCCTGGGCCCGCTTCTGGTTTCGGGCTTCCTGTTTAGCTCTGCGGGGCTCAGAGCCTGGTTCCAGGGCAATGGGAGACAGCTCTTGTCCATTCTCCTGGCACCGCAACCCTGGCACCAGCTCTTGGGTGCCTAGAGGTTTTTTCTGCCAAAGATACAACAGTTAGGCCCTGTTAAATACATTGGGTATCCCCAGCCCCCATACACTCAATGGGAGCTTACCAGGAGAGAGGGCCAGGCGAGCAGAGGCACCTTCTTGGGTAGTGTCAACTGTAGAAGACCACCCTTACGAGCCTGCACTTTGGTGCAAGAACTTTGTATTTCAGCAAAAAAGACACCACCCCATTGCTGACCACCTGGAAAAAGGAGTGTTAACAGTGATCTGAGGTAGGGATACTAGAGAACTCAAAGGTAATACTGCACTCTGGGCAGAAGAACACACCTGGAAGCCTCACCACACAGTCTGTGTCTGTGAAAGCAGCGTCTACTTCCTCCAGACGTAGGGGACCTGCTCCTACCCGCAGTTTAACAGTCACCTCATCTGCGGTCTGTTTCCAATCAAGCAACAATTCTATATGGAGAAGAGATCAGAAGAGTTGCTGCTAATGATGACAGACAGGTAAAAGAGCCAAACCTACTGCTCCACCTGAGAGTTGAATTCTCCCTTCCCTCAAGCAGCGCTCAAAAGCCCCATTCGTTTCTCACCCTCTTTGGGCTGCTCCTTTCGAGGTGTAGACGCTGGCAACAAGAGGAAAACAGACAATGAGGAGGCGTCGGATCCCAAGACCCCACCATCTGGATCTTAGCCAAGCTCCTTGTCTTTAAAGCTGAGGTATTTCTCTCAGCACCAACCCATAATAAAGGAGGCAGGACACAGACCTTTACACTGCATGTCCAGAGGCATGGGAAGAAGGGACCATGAGAACTCCGGAAATGCCACTCCTACCTCTCCTGGGATCTCCATCTTTGCTTTCCTGGTTTGCTCGATCCTTCTGTTTCTTCTTACTAGTGGCTTCCTCCAATCCTGGGGGCCCTCTCCTTGGGCCTGTAGTACTGGCCCCACCAGACATCTTGAGCCGCTTGGTAGCCAGCCAGAGTGCCCCAGGGTCGGCAACAGCGTCTGGGTCAGGGCTACGGCGCTTTCTTCCTGGCCCAGCTATCTTGGCAACTCTTTGTAGCCAAATTCTTCAGCAAGGAACCAACAGCCTAATGAAAATAGACCAGGAATCACTGCCAAAGCCAAACAATTTGTTCCCTGCCTACAACCAGGAATCAGAATCAGCAACTGAGGACACTCTTGGCCTTTTAAAGGTTAATATCTTGTCACCATCTGAGGCAGCCATGCCCACTCTGAGACTACCCTATGAGGAAATAAATAATTCAAGCAACAGCAACCGCTTCAGGCCACACCTCCTGAGTATCTACAAAAGACCCAGAATGCGCCGGGCGTTGGTGGCCCACGCCTTTAATCCCATCACTCAGGAGGCAGATCTCTGTGAGTTCGAGGCTAGCCTGGTCTCCACAGCAAGTTCCAAGACAGCCTCCAAAACAATACAGAGAAGCCCTGTCTCAAAAAACAAACCAAAAAAAAAAAAAAAAGATCCCGAATGCTGGGAGCTGCACTGAGGAAGCGCTAGGTCAAGGCAGTCACCGCCCGGGCCCAGGCTCACCCTCTGGACAGGAGCCACGGCTCCAACCCACAGGACTGGCACGCTGAGCAGAGCGTCCTTTCATTCACTCTCACTGGCTGCTTAGTCACCAGACAAGGAGAAGGTGAAGGAGGCAAGCAGGAGAGGCAGAGATCATCAAGCAGCTGTGGAGAGGCCAGACCCCAGCTGAAAACGGACCCTCCGCAGGTGCTGCACTGCCCAGAAACAGCCCTGGTATTCAGGTGACTAATCTGCTTCCTGCCGGCTCCCACTGCTGTCAGAAACGTGCTTCTGAAACTAACTGGTCTTTGTTTCCAACTAAAATGGGAGTTTCTCTCCACAGCTCCAAAGACCAGTGAACTCAAGTGTTGAGACATGGTGGTGGGCATCCAGCTTGACACTGAAACAGACATCACCCTATTTCCAGGTTCCTTCATTCATCAGCTTTGATCCACAGAAGCCTAATCAGTTTCCCATCTCTGTGTAGATTCTGGCTCTCTCCACACAAAATGAAGTTTTCGAAAGCAGACACTGAGGGGAGAGTGGAGACGGAACGGAATGTAGACCTAGGACCCCTGGCAGCCTCAAGCCCGGCTAGCACAGCCAGAAGAGATATGACCAGTCTGTGATCCCTTGGGGAAGATGGGGTGATAAAAATACCCTTGTCAGGCCAGAGAGATGAGCTGAATCTGGTAACAGCCTGCCCAGGCCTGAGGGCAGAACACCCTCCGTTTCCTCCTTACACCTAGGCCCTATTCACAAGTTCAGTCCCTCCCCCATGCTCCCAGGACGTCAGAGCGGGAGAGGGACTATCCAGAGATCCCAGATGGTCGGAGAGGCTGCGCAGAGTTACTGACCACAGACCAACGCCCCAAGAAGGCTGCTATCCGACTCCAACCTCCGAATCCCAGGCCTGCCACCACCTCCTCCAGGAAGCCACCCTCGCTCGCCGCTAGTCCTCTTAAAAACAGAGAAGCCGGCCACAGATGTAGCATAACGGCTCAGTCGGCATCGGTGGGCCCCTCACTCCGCGGGGCTCGAGATGTCGAGGCTGGCACGGCCCGTGACCTTGAGCAGGCCGCTGCAGGCCAACACCGCGGCCTTCCCACTGCGGCCAAACCAGCGACTTGCGGCCCGCACCACTCACCGAGCGAGACAGCCACCACCAGCCCTCTTCGGGCCCTGGCAACCCGCTCTCGATTCCGGTTCCGGCGTCGAGTCGGTTCCGGTTCCGGCGCGCCCCTCCCCCGTCCCGGCTCCGCCGCCGCCGCTTCAGCCGCTTGTTTTGTTTCGACTTCTAGATAAGACTATGGGAGGCGGAGCTGCGAGCTGATGACGCACTTCCGGCAAGGGTGGGTGCTGTAGTGAAGGGCAGTTCTGGGGAGGGCCGGAAAGGAAGAAGAGGGGTTCCGGTGCTTTGGCCTTTGCTAGAATTCTACTCAGGACCAGGTACCTAGGTCCTTCGCCCCTCCCATCAACGTCCAGACAACACAGCGGAAGGTCACACTGGTTTATTGAAAGCACTTGCTAGCCAAAAGCTCTTTAACGTGTGGACAGACATGAGTGTGGAACAGAGCTTGGGGACAAGGCTGGGCCCCGGGGAGGGGTCACTGGCAGGTGTTGTAGATCTGGACCTGCAGGTTGATGGCCTGAAGCACACTGCGCATCCGGGCTTCCAGCCCATCCAGCTGGGCCGCCTTGCCCTCCAGTTCACGTTCATTCTCTTCGTAGGTGCCCTCCAGTTCTAGAAGGGTCAAGAAATAGTTTAGGTCTCTCTCCGGCAATCCCACCTCCCTAGCTCCCCCCAGCACGGTCCTCACCCTGCAGCCGCTGCAGCTTGTCCTGAGCAGCCTGCAGCAGGCCCCGAGCCTCATCCCGCAGCTGCTCTGCCCTGGCTTGCGCGGCCAGCACACCTTCAGCCTTCCGTTCAGCCAGCGCCCTCACAGTTTGGTACTGGTCGCCTACTTGTTCCCGCAGCTGCTGTAGATGTAAAAGACAGGGTCAGTATGCTAGCACAGTGGAGTCCTAACCCTCAGGGTGGCTTTGCCTCAACTTACCTTTTCAGCCTCCCTGGCACGACTCTGAGCACTGCCTGCTGTCTCTTCAGCTGTAGACGCTGCCAGCCTATTTCCGGCCCGTTTCAGTTTCAGGGCCTCCAGGAGAGCATCCAATTGCTGAGTCCGCTCACTTGCAGAGTTCAGTGACTGCTCTGCACCTGCTACCCGCTCTTGCACCTGCCACAGAGGGGTCCAGGTTGAAACAGACCCACCTTTAGTCCCAGTGGTTCAGAGGGAGAGGAAGGTTGATCTCTGTGAGTTCTGGGCCGTCCAGGGCTATCATAGTGAGACCTGGTTCCAAACACAACAAAACATCCGGAGTACATGTCCCCCTGATGTCCTAGGGAGACCGTACCCGGTGCAGGGTCTGCTCTGTGTTCTCTGTGTCAGCCACTGCTCCTCGGATGGCTCCCTGAGCAGCACCCTGTGCCCTCTGAGCCTCCTCCAGTGCTGCCTGTACTGTCTCTGCCTTCTGTTTCTCACCCTCGGCACGGCTCCTGAGGAAAAGGGGAGATCAGGGTCTGCAGATATCAGGGCCAGGTTTCAGGAATGGGGGCCAGGGTTGGGGTCAGACCGTGCCCGCTGTGCGTCTTGTAGTAGCTGCTCAGCCCGACGCACATCGCCCATAGTATGTGCCAGGATTGTGTCCACATCCGCCAGGCTTCGGACACGGTCTGCAATCTGGCTTGCTAGGTGCTGGATCTGCTCAGGTGAGGCTGGGATGGAAAGCTCTAGTACCCGTGTGGCTACCATTTCAATACTGTCAGGGTCAGCTCCCTCCTCTGTGGAGACACAGGCAAGAGCTTAAGAACAGATTCCCCAGCATGAGCTTGGAAACATAAGCTTGATATGTGGGTTCTCAGAGTGCACATGCCATAGGAGTTTGCTGAAAGGGATAAGGATGTGAACAGAGAATAGGGACTGTACAATGGGCAGAGACCTAGGGACACTGACTGGACAAGGACTCAGGGGCAAGACATAGGGTCATAACTCATGCCCATTGCAGACCCTGAGCCTCAAGTACACACAGACACGAGGGAAGCCGCAGGGGAGACTCACGGCTGAGGAAGTCCTTCACATTCTGGATAAGTTCCCGAAGCTCCTGGTTGGCCTGCTCCACTTGGCCCCTAGAAGCATTAGCCTTGTCCAGGGCTGCCTGTGCCCGCTGCTGTGCCTCCTCTGCCTGCCGGCGAGTCTCAGACACTCGGCCGAGGATGCCACCACCTTCTACCAGTGCCCGCTGCAGCTCGGCCTGTGTGTGCCGAGCCCGGCCCAGTGCTAGATCTGCTGTGGCTGCTGCCCCACTGCAACCGAGGCCACCACAACGGGGTCGCCCATCCTCATCCCGGCATCCGGCACCCCCGCAAGGGCTGGTGGTGCAGGGTGCGTCCCCTGGCGCCCCACATACCTGCCAGGCACAAAACAAATCAGGGTTCCGTGGGAAGAATACCCACCCCTACCTACCCCCACTCCATACTTGCACCTCACCAGCTCGTTTATGCCTGTCAGGCTCAGGGCGTGGGTACGTGAAGAGAGCTGACCCAGCGCCTGCTGGTTTGCTAACTGTTTGCGGCTGAAGTTCTCTTTTTGGGCACCCATGAGCACTTCTGTCCGACGCCGGGTATCTGCTGAGTTGCTCACTGGGCTGGGTACTGCAAGGGTGGAGGTGTTGGCACGGCGCTCCGCTTCTGTAGACTGGCTGTGGGCATGTCGGATGCTGTCATAGGCACCTAAGTTGGGTCAGAGAGGTCAGTCAGCTGAAAATTCGCTCTGGTACACCTGCCTAGTTAACCAAAAACTCACCTAAGAAATTCGAATGTTTGAGGATATCCAGATGCTGGTCAAGCTGCCTCAGTGTGAGATTGAGCGCAAGCCCGTCTCTCTCCAGACCACTGATTGCATGGTTGGCATTGAAGTTCTCATCCTGTACATCTGTTAGCTCAGCCTCTAACTGAGTCAGGCGCTCAGTGGTCTTCCCAATTTCGTGGCTAAATCAATAGGGGACAGTTTAGAGAGGCTTCAGTCCAAGTCTTTTGGCCTTTGCTCCACCCCACCGTATTTATTTAGTCCCATCCATACCGCAGTCCTTCTGTGGCCTCTACAAGCTTCGCAGTAGAGGCAGCTGAGGCATTGCGGGCACCCACGATGGCCTGTACCATGCCCAGCTTCGCCTGCATGTCCAAAAAGCTGCTTTCAAAGGCACCCAGCACACCCGTTTGCTGTAACTCGTGCGCCCACTGCTCCAGGCGTCGTGTGCGAGCAGCCAGGTCCTGTACAACACGATCCCAGTCTCCAAAGCATGCATGGCAGGGGTGACAAGCAGGAAAAACACCCGAGAAGCCACGAGCACACTGGTCACAGCGCACACCAGACACGCCTGGACGGCAGCTACAATGGCCCGTGGAACGGTGACACTGAGGTTTGTCTATGCCTCGAGGATCGCAATCACAAGCTGCAGAAAAAGACGAACCATAGAATGAGGGCTGCCGTGACGCATACCAAGACAGTCTTTATCCACCGCGTCTCTCCGGGTTTCTCACCACGGCACTGCAGACCAGGGTCTCCCCAATGGAGCTCTTGGCACTCAGAACAAGTCCTCCCACCAAAGCCGACATGACAGTGGCACTGCCCTGTGAACTAGGACATAAACAGCAAGGCTCAGAGCCTCTAGCAAAAGTTAAGCCTGTGAGGCAGATGACGGGCTCCCTCTACCCACGATTCCATACCTCATTGCAGGTGGGGCCTCTAGCCCTGGTTGGGTGGCACGCACAAGGCTGGCAGCCACGGCCACTGGTGAAGTTCCAAAAGTTAGGGGCACAACGGTCACAACTAAGGCCTTGGACGTGGGGGAGGCATGGGCACTGCCCACTGATTGGGTCACAGTGGCACTGGTCAGTAGATGGGCACTGCTGGGGATTGGTGCCGAGAGGATTGCAGGTACAGCCTGGGCAAGTCAAGAGACACAAGAATCCAGGGAATCTGTCCCCAGCAGAACCCACCCCAACCATCTCTTCCCACAGCCAAACTTACGGTGACAGCTCTGTCGGGCCGCTTGCCCATGGAAGCCAGGCTTGCAGTGGCCACAGTGGGGCCCTTCTGTGTTGTGCAGACAGCGCAAGCATCGCCCCGTGTGGGAGTCACAGGCATCAGGGTCCGTGGGGTCAATGTTTCCGCTGCACTCACACAGTTGACACCGTCCACCTGGCTTTGATGGGTCTCCAAAGTGCCCGGGGGCACAAGCTTCACACCGAAGCCCTGTCCACAGTCAAGAGGAAAGAGACCATCCATGAGTGCTAAGCTTAGCCACCTCACCCTAATCCCGTACCTGTGCCCTACCCACTCACCGGTGTAACCAGCTCGGCAGTGGCACACAATTTGCTGGGAATATCCATCCCGGTGGCAAGAAGTAGCAAAGTGCCGCTGGCTCCCAGGACCTTCAGGGCAGGGACAAGGCCGGCACTGGCCTCCATACGGCAGCCTCGGGTCCCCATGAAAACCAGCGATGCACCTGCAGGGAAACGAGCGGGGGTTATCTTCAGGCCGCCTGCCCAGCCACCAGCCGCTCACAGCTGCTCTAGGCTCACCTTTCACAGTGCTCGCCCCCGGTGTAATCACGGCAGCCCAGGCAAGCGCCTGTGTGGGCATCACACTCGTCCGCACGCCCATTGCAGACACACGGCCGGCAGTTAGGGAATCCCCACTGGCCACGTTGACAGCGGTCACAGCGAAGACCAAAGGCACCAGTTCGGCAGGGACACTGTCCACTCGTCCCTTCACACAGGGCACTGAGTGCCCCATCAGGGCTACACTGGCAGGCTGGAGATAAGGTAGAGAAGTCAGGGTGGGGAGGTTGAGGAATCATAGGGAAGTACAGGGGACTCCAACCCAAGAGTATAGGATCCAAGGTGGAGTTGAAGAAGGAAGAGCGAAGCGAGGGGGAAGAGGGAATCTTGAAGTGGGAAAGGAAAGAGAATAGGGACGATTAAAAGACAGACAGATACCTTGACAGCCTACAGGGCCAAAGCCATAATAGCCAGTGGCACAGACATGGCAGCGGCGTCCAACCACTCCAGGTTTGCAAAGGCACTGGCCGCCATGAGGGTTGCACTCAGAGCTCAGTGAGCCTTGAGGGTTACACTGACACGCTGTGAGCGGGAGAGAAAGAGCAGATTAGGCTAGGTCCCCACCTCTGCCTGCCAAGTCATAACCAGAGTACTTACGCAAGGCACCGTTGTAGATCAGGGAGGACAGGCTGATGAGGAGGGGGGCGCAGGCCTCAGAGAGAGGGGTCTTGCTGGGCATCAGACCTTCCTCATGGCAACGGTAGCGTTCAAAAGTGGCACGGCGCTCCAAGGCGGCAGCATCACCCCCACTGAACATCTCTAGCACCAAGACATGGGGCTGCAGTACCAGCTGAAGAGATGTACAAGAGCGAACTCGCATCGGACTCCAGTGCTGCCACAGCGCCTACCTTTTCTGCCACAGAGCCTCCCAGGCACCACCATCACCATGATCTCCACCCCAAAGGCCCCGCCATCGCTGCTGATAGGAGCGGAAGATCGCTCACCGAGTCAATGAGTAGCCCAGACCCAGAGTAGGTTTCGGGATAGACACGTCCCCCCACTCGCGTCAGTTTCAGATTCAGTTTGTAGGAGATGCCAGGCTCAAGGCAGATGGGTCTGGGAAACACCAAAGACCTGGGAGTGGGGAGCAGAGCATAGGATGACACTCAGGGCCCATGCACCTATCATATGGTTATTTTTGTTATTGTTGTTTTGACTTTGTTGTTTTTGTTTTTTTTGAGACATGGTTTCTCTATGTAACAGTCCTGGCTGTCCTGGAACTCACTCTGTAGACCAGGCTGGCCTTGAACTCAACAGAGATCCTATCCTCAGCCATTAACACTGCCACTCATAGCAATCGAACCAATTGACCAAGGCAAAGACTACTGAGCCAGACTAGCCAACATGTACCAACATGTACCTGCTGAGTCCCTGACAGGAAATCTGAACAGAAGAGTCCTATAGATGTGGCTTTCTGGAATCATACAGCCACACAGACCAATGCCACCTAAAATACAGAGCCTGCAACCATGTATCTCTCTCTCTCTCTCTTTTTCTCTCTCTCTTTTTTTTTTTTTTTTTGGCTTAACCACCAATGCCTGGCTTAATTGGGTCTTTAAAAACAAAACAAAACAAGCCAGGCGGTGGTGGCACACGCCTTTAATCCCAGCACTCGGGAGGCAGAGGCAGGCAGATATCTGTGAGTTCGAGGCTGGGCAGGACCGACAGCCTTGAAAACAATACAGAGAAACGCTGTCTCGTAAAAACAAAAAAACAAACAACAAAGAAATTAACAAAAAACAAAAATCCAAAACCCAGGGCTGGAGAAGGGAGTTAAGAACACTTGCTGTTCTTTCAGAGAACCCAGACTTGGCTCCCAGCATTCACATTGGAAGGCTGAAACAGCCTGTAACTCTAGTTGCAAGGGATCCAACAATAACTTCTGTGGGCACCTGCACACATGAAGTGCAAGAACACACACACAGTGCACGCATGCTCATGTGCATACACATACAAATACTTATACGTATGCATGCATACATACATACATACGTAAAGATAACAAATGAGAAAAAAGAAAACCTGACAGATTATAATGTCAAGAGATACATGGGTGGGCGTTGGCGGCACACGCCTTTAATCCCAGCACTCGGGAGGCAGAGGCAGGCGGATCTCTGTGAGTTTGAGACCAGCCTGGTCTATAGAGCGAGTTCCAGGACAGCCTCCAAAATAATACAGAGAATCCACGTCTCAAAAAACAAAACAAAACCAAAAACAAATAAACAAAAAGATCTTGGATCTGAGCTGGGCACGCACACCTTTAATCCCAGCTCTTGAAGGCAGAGGCAGGCAGAGCTCTGTGAGTTCAAGGCCAGTCCGATCTATAGAATGAGTTCCAGAATAGCCAAAGTTACACAGAGAAACCCTGTCTCAAAAAAAAAAAAAAGACAGAAAGAAAAAGAAAAAGAAGGAGAGAGGCCCAGGATGGCCAACAGAGTAATGAAAAAGCTAATGATATAGGAAACAAATACTTGCAAAATGTTTTTTTGTTGTTGTTGTTTTGTTTTTTGTTTAACGAGACAGGGTTTCTCTGATTGTCGGTCCAGCCTGGCCTCGAACTCACAGAGATCCGCCTGCCTCTGCCTCCCAAGTGCTGGGATTAAAGGCGTGCGCCACCAATGCCCGGCAATACTTGCAAAATGTAACAAACCTTAACCAGTCACACCCTTTCTCTAATACCACTGCCTTGCAAACATCACTACCATAGGATGACTTCCGGTCAATTAATGCCTTGACCTCTGAAACTCACATTGAGAAAGCAGACCGTTTTATCTATGACTTTCCTGTGAGCATAGCCACGGACCTGGCAGGCAGCGCCCAGAAGGACGGATTTGAAAGAAGGAACAGGTAAGAAAGCAATGTGGTCTTTCGGGAGATTTGCATGGAAAATGGCTGCACCTGCAGCCTTGCCACTGTGCCCTCACCGGGTGTTTGGCTGGAGCATGCCGTGAGTTCGGTCATCCTTAGGCAGCACATGCCCACAGGGGCTGTGGGCAGACACGGGCCCTGGGCGATGCACAGTCAGTTCCAGCTCTGCCCATTGCTCAGGAACCTGGTGGAAGAGGAGCGTGGAGAGGATTCTTCCACATCCAGAATGTCTGCACGGGTCAGCTGTCACAGGGTCTAACCTGAGGCTCCAAGCGCAGTAGCAGGTCATAGTCCATGGCCCTTGGCAAAGAGGTCACCAGGAACTCCACTTCCTGACCTTCCCGAAGCCGTACAAAGCCCGCGCCAGTCCAGGATGGAGTCTCTCTGTTGGTAGCCAGACGCTCTACCACCTCAAGGGCCTGAGAGTCGACACGGTCACAGCAGGGATGAGGACTGAGGTGAAGTGCCACCTGTGCTGCCACAGCCAGCCCCAAACACAATTTCTCCCGCCAAGGCCCCCCTAAGACTGGACAGCATCCCAGTCCCTGCAAGGCACCCCTCCCCTCTAGCCACTCCACCCACATCTTGTGAGTGCTCCCACCTGCCCTCGGGCATCCTCAGCCTCCCAAGTTAAATGGTCTAGAAAAGGCCGGAAGTAGCCAGGCTGTACTTGTTCACAGCGCCGTCCAATCATGTGCTGGCGGCAGCGGCACTGGCCTGTGGCCTCATCACACCTGAGGGATGCTGTGGTTACTGAAGGGCCACCCCCTTTGCCTCCCCCCTCCCCCATCACACAGCACTCACTGAGGATCCAAGGCACCACCCACGTCGCAGTCACAGGGACGGCAACCAAGCAGGTCATGGCTCAGGCCCCAGTGGCCAGGCTGGGAAGAAGGGATTGATGGAGGCTCTCAGTGAATCCAACCACACTCCCAGCCAGTCCCCAGACCACTGCTCTATACCCTTGGCCGCCCAAACCAGAGGCTTCTCATTCAGAACTAGACCCTAAGTTCTCAGTCCCCACCCACTGGACTTCGCCCCCAGCCATGTGCTTTGAGGACAAGTCCTGGACCCTGGAGCCTCAGATCCCCCTGCCTCACCAGGCAGCGGTCACAGCCGTGTCCGGTCACCAGCCGCTTGCAGAAACAGGCTCCACTGTTGGAGTCACAAGGGGTGCCCCCAGGCACTGTGCCCCGTGAATTACACTGACAACCTGTAGTCAAAGAGGCCCATTAGCACTGTAGAAAGAAGTGCTCAGGTTCATCTGCTTCAGAAATAAGAGGCCAGGGGTTAAGGGTCAGCATAGGAGTTATGGCAGGAAGCACATACGCTGGCATCCCAGAGGGTTGCTGGCACTAAGTCCAAAGAAGCCATCGCGGCATTGCTGGCATCGAGCACCAACCACATGTTCTTTGCAGCGACACTGGCCCGAGACTAGCCCTAGCACAGGGTCATCATGGGAATCACAGCGACCACCATCTTGAGAGCCCATAGGGTCACAGTCACAGGCTGAGAACAAAGGAGAGTATAAATCATGCTAGCCCGATGGCCCAGCATCAGTCCTAAGCCTTCCCTGTTGCTGTTCTGGGTCCACCCCAAGCCCTTACCACACAAATTCTGGCTTCCTAGCTCCTGACTCAGTTTTCTCTCCCTCGCCCCCGGTCCCAGCCTTACGACGGCACACGGCTGGGTCCCGCAGGTCCTTGGTTGGGTCTCGGTAGAAGAAGGGGCGGCAGAGCTCACAGTGGCGCCCAGCTGTGTTGTGCTGACAACCGTCGCACACACCTCCACTCACATTCCCAGACGCCAGGTACACAGCCATGTCAAAGTGGCAGCTACGGGTATGCCCGTTGCACTCACACTCTGGGAAGAAAGCAAAGGCCAATTGAGAAGCCAGGCCCTTAGGGTAAGCGACGAGGGAAGGGGGTTAGTGTCATCACTTTAGTCGGAACCCTAGGCCAGAACTAGTAGGTGGCAGCTTCAGGACTTCAAGTCTTCAGAATCATATGGGACTAGTAGCCAGAGCAGACTATAGAGGAGGCCTGAGGGTCATCAGGGGTATCAAGGCCTGGACACCCTTTACCCACAGCCTAGGAATTTAGGGCTTGATCAACCCACATTTGGTTTGAACCAGGCCACAGCCAGGCTCTAGGGTTGTGTCTCACTCACTCCGACAGGCATGAGTATGGCCGTCCTCAGCAGGATGCCAGGGCAGGTCATGATAGAAATCCTGACACTGCTCACAGTTGAGACCACGAGTATTGTGTTTGCAGACACAGGCCCCATGTACCTGTGAAGACATTCAGGAAGGTTGGTAGCACTATCTAGCCATGCCCACACCTCCCCATAACCCCACTCCAGTCACTAGAGACCCTTACCATGCCCTCAGCATGGGCTGGTGCCCCCGGTGCAGGGGCGCACTGTGAGGCATGTCCATAGCAGAAGCAGTTGCCACGGACAACAAGCTCATAGAGGGCATAATAGTATTTTTCCCGGATCTCCCGCCGAGGGTCCAGCAAGTTGTCCCCCAGTGTGTGAAGCCGAGTCAAGTTCACTCGTAAGTTGGTGATCTTCAACAGGTCTAAGAAGGGAAAGAGGGTTTTGTCCAACTAGACGGGCAAGCTCTGGTAGCCTCATACCCACCCAGGGGTTGCAGCTGCCAAGGTCACCTTGGGAGCCCTCTTTTCTATTGCTACCAGAGCTAAACTGGGCTTGGCATCTGCCCTAGGAAGCACCCAAAATAGTTACTGAGGCCCCAAATAGTCCCTATCCATCCGGACACTGGGCCTGTGCCAGTCTCCAGGGGTAGAGTAGAGCACTCACTCTGAATCCGTGAGCTGTAGGGGTCTGGGATAGGGATGGCAGGATCCAGCACACGGTAGATGACCTGGCGTGGCAGGAAGCCCACAGAGGCATCGGACCTTGCTTCAGATACACCACAGACCCCATAGAGCCCTTCCTACCCTCCGCCCAGACCCCAGCCTTTACCTCGCCTTCAGTGGATGGTTCAATTTCTGAGTAGCGAGACTCGCAAACCACATCGTCCCAGTGCCGTGGTGGGGCCAGTGGGACTCCTGGGAAGTCAGCCCCGCAGTCATAGGAAAAATATCGGTACACGTGCCAGGTGCGGCCAAAGTCTGCAGAGCGCTCCACCAGCATGGCAGCAGGACGAAAGGTCTGGTTGGGGAGGGGGGGGACATGCCTGATCCGCAGGAACCGGGACCTCAGCCCAGCCCGGGCTGCTGAGAGCCCTGCTTAGTTATGATCTCTGCCAAGTAGCTCACAGACAAGTGGGGGTGACTGAAAACCAGGCAGTGATCAGACCAGGGGGGCAGCTGCCTCTAACTGGTAGGTTAGGATCTGACCTAGTCTAGGAATGCGGCACAGGAGATGTCAAAGGCTTGGAGCGTGCTCAGCAATGGAAACTATGCAAGAAATGACCACGTTTCATACGTAGTCAGAACACAGCACAGGAGCACATTCAGGGAAGCTGGGTTGTAGAGTTAGGGCTCTGTCCGGGGGCATTGGGGAGCAGAGCAGGGCATTTGGGGCAGGTTCACTGCTATGCAGGCACCTTGAAAGTCATAATGAGATGGGTGAAATGGAATTCAGCTTCCAGGTCCAGTTGGATGGTGACCCTTGGGATACCTACAGCAGGAAGCAGAGGTCAAGGTTTTGAGGTTACTGATATACAAGCCCTGATCACTCTAATGACCTACCCACGGACTCACCATTCTCCGATTGCCACCAAGCTGCCCGGCGTTGTGGTGCGAAGCTGGTGACTACATTCTGGATGCGGTGGCTGTTGGGGTTGTCTCGGGCAGAGAAGGGCTGCCGGGAGTCACACAGGAAACACTTCTTCTCATCCTGTATTGGATGGAGGTTAATACCAGTACCTCAGCCAGTGCCAACCCCACCCTGATCCAGGCTCACCCAGGCCCCCGCAGCACCTGCAGGTGACTGACGATACAGTAGGGCTGGGGGCTGTGCAAGCCGCAGGTGGACGAGGCAGTCAGTCTGTCCGCACGGCCCACCAACAGGTCACCAGTGGCTGGGTAGCAGCTTCCTCGAGAACAGCCAAGTACATCCAAGGAAGGGGACTGGGCCAGTGTGGCAGCCAGCACTGGGGGCAGTGGGTTAAGCAGTTCAGCAGTGACTCTAAGAGGCAGCCACATCCCTCGGGTCCCTGGGACAGACAGCCACCCCTGGACCTACCGTCACACCCCATAACCTTAGGCCTCACCAGGCCCCTCACCACTTAGAAGTAGGCCCAAGCGAAGTTCCCAAGGCAGAGGCTGTCCCTGCTGGCCCCTCCCTGGCTCTCCTGAGGCCCACTCCATCCTGAAGAGAAGGAAAATGGAGATAAGGAGAGATAAAGAGTCCAAAGAAGAAGCCCACTACCTTCCTTGGGGTTGATGCTGACCCTGACCTCGTAGGCACTGGGCTGCTTTCCCTCCAGGTCCTCAGTCTGTCCCAGGGTCTGTCCAGCAGTCACTCCTCCACAATCTGAGAGAGTCTGACGACTTTGGGTAAAGTTGGAAAGCAGGGAAGGAAGGAAAACATGGAGTGGATTTTGGACTGGATTATAACAGGATAGAGTCCCCAACCCCTACCACATCTCTGTGCTTTGCAAACAACCCTAATCCCACGAACCAGACATTGTCCACTTTACCCACAATTTTTTAAAGGTGAGACTTATTTAGAAGAGTAGACCAGGCGTTGGTGGCGCACGCCTTTAATCCCAGCACTCGGGAGGCAGAGGCAGGCGGATCTCTGTGAGTTCAAGTCCACCCTGGTCTACAGAGCTAGTGCCAGGATAGGCTCCAAAGCTCACAGAGAAACCTGTCTCGAAAAGCCAAAAAAGAAAGAAAGAAAGAAAGAAAAAGACAAGGGAGGAGTCCAAAGAGAATTGGAGTAGTCTACTCAAAGACAGAGAACTCGTGGGTGTGTATCTTCAATGTATCCGTAAAGTCCAGATTTGTACAGAGACCAGGGCAAGATGGAGTGGCAGGAAGGGGGCTTATGGAACTGGGGGAATGGAAAAGGTAAATAGGGGGTTTGTGATCTTTGAGACATGGAAGGCAGATCTGAGGAGCTTATGGCCTTTGTCTGTGGTGTCACTATGAAAACCACCGTCAAATTATCTGCAGACTCCCAGGGTTACCGCACCAGCAGGGAGATGAAGTAGATGCAAACTGAAATTCTCGTGGACCTGGGGGAAGGTTATGGCGACCCAAAGGACCGGTAGGACTGAGCTCTGGGCGACACTGGGTGGACCACACAGTGCTGAAACACAGCTCTGTGGAACTGGAACGTGGGTAGTCACTACAGCAAATGAGTTGCAAGAAACATTGCCTGCTTCCGGATTAAAATGGGCAGCGGCTACTCAGCTACCCGGATATGGGATCTGGTGACAGACGCTGGACCCCAGCAGCTGTGAGTGAATACGAATCTTGTGGCTATTTATCCATTTCGGACTTTCCAGTCCTCTGGCAGCCCGGGAGCGTAGAGTTGGAATGCGTGCACCCACTAGGCGCTGCGCCCCACCCAGACCCCTGGGACTTCAGGCGGGAAGAGGGTGGGTCCAGGGTCTGTGAAGCTTGTTTTGAGTGCCACAGCTATGAACAGATTGCTAGAGATCAAGCAAAGATTACTAGAAGCTGCTGGCGCCTGTGGGAATGCTGAGTGTTCTTCAGAGAAAGCTCTCCGCTTCACAAAGGAGAATGGGGGCGGGACCATCAATCCGTTGGATTTTCTCTGTCACTTGAGTAGAGTCTGCAGTCACCTAGAGGGGTCCTGTGTGTTACCGAGGGAAGCTCTGGGATACTCAAGGTGAATTTTAGATCAGGCTGTCCCCTGTGCTTTGACTGGCTCTTGGGAACTCATTCCTCATGCCGGATTGCCTTACCCAGCCTGAATGCAGGGGGAGGTGCTCAGTCGTATGGCATCTTGGTATGCCATGCTTTGCTGAAGTCCATGGGAGGCCTGCTCCTTTCTGCTCCTTTCTGGGCAATTAAGGAGAGGGTGGCTGTGGGGGAAGGACAGAAGTGGGGAAGAGAGGAGGGAGGCTGTGGTCAGGATGTAAAATTAATTAATTAATAAAAAAGATCATGTAGCCAAAACAAAAACAAAAAGAATTTTAGGTAACTCGGCGTTAGAGGTGGTAGGGTGGGGTTAAGGCTTCAGAGGGTGTCAAGAGGGTTACTCGATAGCTCTATTGCAAGGTTAGAGGGCCAATGGGGGACATCCTAGAGTCACATTTAGGGCAGAGGGTACAAGATGAGATTTCTTGGTTATAGTACAACCCAGGTGGTTTCAGAGTCCTTTTTTTTTTTTTTTTTTTTCAAAACAGGGTTTCTCTGAGTAACAGCCTTGGCTATCTTAGAACTCACTTTGTAGACCAGGCTGGCCTTGAACTCACAGAGATCCTTCTGCCTCTGTGTCCCAAGTGCTGGGATTAAAGGCATGCTCCACCACACCTGGCTCTTCTTATGTTTCTGATTTTTAAGTATCTAAATGTTTTGTCTGTATGCATGCCTGTGAACCACTTCCAGGTTTGGCGCCCAAAGATGCCAGAAAAGGGCATCAGGTCCCCTGGAACTGGAGTTAACAGGTGTCTGTGAACTACCATGTGGGTGCTGGGAGTAGAACTCAAGTCCTCTGGAGGAGCAGCCAGTACACTTAACTGTTAACTTCTCCCGCTGTGCCACGTTCCTTTTTAGCTGATGTCCATAGATGGCAGTCAGCTGCTGGCACGGCTGTGGAGAATATGCTCTTAAAGTGTCGCTGCTTTGGGGCCTGCAGATGGGCTGCCTTCTCCAGGACCTGGTCACCCTGTGCCAGGCAATAAGCCAGCTCTGGAGATCAAGCCATCTGAGCCCGAGATGTGACTTCTGACCCTGACCCAAATCTCCATTACATCTGTGACCCCAGCCTTAAACTTAAGTGAGCCCTGACTCCAAACTTTACTGCAGCTCACATCTCCATAGAAGTCTGACTCTGACAATGGCCCATATGTCTTTGTTCCAGCCTGTCCCACTAAAGCCCATTACATCACTCGAGGTGGCTCCAGCTACTCTCTGCCTTTCGCCACAGTTCCTGACCCTCAGCTTCTGCCTGTACCAGCTCTTATACAACATGGCTATCAGGCTGCCTTTGCCCTTCTGCGGCTCTACCAAACTTGCTTGGCCATCTGGAACTTGTAGAGCAATGTTGAGCATCATATCCTTTCCAGACTCTAGTTACCTACGTAAATCACTGCTCAAGGTTGCTGGGAGGCAGTAAGTTTAGAACTGGACCCCTGTGCGTTAGCCCCATATAGCTCAGCCCCATCCTGAACCCTACTTCTGCTGTTCCAGAAAGGTTCTTAAGAACCCAATACACCATTTCACCTTGCCTGGGTTTCTAGCTATGCCCATGGCTCATATTGCCTGCTCTGATGTTAAATTTAGGTGAGATCCTCAGCTCCATTGGACACATGCTCTACAACAAGGTCATATCAACTAGTAGCTTAATACTCCGGTCACCTGGAGCAAAAGAGTTGGGGTTGTAGAGAAGTCACATCAAAGTAGCAACTAGGTTCAGTATTCATCTCATGGGTAATTAGCACATGGTGGAAGAGCCCAGGAGAGAATGGGGATAATAGTAGGGTTTTTGTTTTGTTGTTTGGTTTTTCCAGACAGTGTTTCTCTTTGTAGCCCTGGCTGTCCTGGAACTTGCTCTGTAGACCAGGCTGTCCTTGAACTCAGAAATCCACCTGCCTCTGCCTACTGAGTTCTGGAATTAAAGGCATTCTCCACCACAACCTGGCAAGTACTTTTTTTAGGGGGTGTGTGTGAGTGTGTGTGTGTGTGTGTGTGTGTGTGTAGGTATGTAATGTGTTGTGCAGGTGCCTGTAGAGTTCAGATGATATAGTGTTGGATCCTCTGGAACTGGATTTACAGGCAATTTTGAGCTGCCAAATGTGGGTGCTGGGAAGTGAACTCTGGTCCTCTGCAAGGGCAGCATGCACTCTTAACCCCACAGTAGCCTTTGACTAGATAAAAGAGCGTGGAGATGGAGAAGTGGGGTATGTGCCCCAACATAAGGAAGAGGCAAAGCCTGCACAAGCCCAGTTCCACACTTGCAATGTCCTGGAGAAGAGTGTAGGGATCACAGACCTACACAAGAGCCTTGACAGATAAGTGCTTGGGGTGTACTTGGTTGTTTTCCATGCTTTGGCTTTTTTGTTCTTTAGGCTCTTTTGGGGGCTACCAGCCAGCTCCCAAGTAAATCACACATGGAGTCTTATTCTTAATTATGAATGCCCAACCTTAGCTTGACTTGTTGCTAGCCAGCTTTACTTAATTTATCCTGACTACTTTTTGCTCTGGTCTTTTCTCGTGTGTGTGTGTGTGTGTGTGTGTGTGTGTGTGTGTGTGTGTGTGTGTGTGTGTGTGTGTGTAGTTTTTCCAGACAGGGTTTCTCTGTGTAACAGCCCTGGCTGTCCTAGAACTCACTTTGCAGACCAGGCTGACCTTGAACTCACAGAGATCCACCTGCCTCTGCCTCCCAAGTGCTAGGGTTAAAGGTGTCACCATCACCACCATCACCCGGCACTTCTTTTTTTTTTTTTTTTTGGTTTTTTTGAGACAGGGTTTCCCTGTGTCTTTGGAGGCTGTCCTCGAACTAGCTCTTGTGCCACCTGGCACTTCTGTATATCTTACTTTCACTCTTACTCTGTGGCTAGCCCTATCTTTCTCTCTCTCTCTCTCTCTCTCTCTCTCTCTCTCTCTCTCTCTCTCGTTGATTTTTGATTTTCTGAGACAGGGTTTCTCTGTATTGTTTTGGAGGCTTTCCTGGAACTCACTCTGTAGACCAGGCTGGCCTTGAACTCACAGAGATCCACCTGCCTCTGCCTCCCAAGTGCTGGGATTAAAGGCGTGCGCCACCATGGCCCGGCTTCTTTCTCCTTTTTGCCCCAGATTTCTCCTTCTATTATTTATCCTCTTTGCCTGCCAGACCCATCTATCTTTTCTCCTGACTTGCTATTGGCAGTTCAGCGCTTTATTAGATCATCAGGTGTTTTAGACAGACGAAGAATCACAGCTTCACAGAGTTAAATGCAACATAAACAAATGTAACGCACCTTAAAATAATATTCCTTTACACTGTGTGAATATATGTGGCTGTGAATGGTTTAATAAACGAGCTGATTTGGCCTATAGCAAGGCAGAATAAGGCTAGGTGGGAGAGCCAAACTGAAAACACAGAGAAAGAAGGGTGGAGTCAGAGAGAGGCAAGCCAGTCGCCAGAGGAGCAAGATGAACTAGAGAACAGGTAAGGCCATGAAGCCACATGGCAAGATATAGGTTAATAGAAATGGGTTCATTTAAGTTGTAAGAATTAGAAAATAATAAGCCTAAGCTATCAGCTGAGCATTTATAAGTAATACTAAGCCTCTGAGTGATAATTTGAGAATGACTGTGGGATTGGAAAACTCCGCTTACAGATAATGTAACGTAACTTTGTCCTAACCTTTCACAGATCATTCCTGCCTCTAACAATTA